TTCGGCAATTTTTATTTTCGGACGAAAAAAAAGGTCAAAAAAATTCCAAAATTGAAGGCTTATATCCACGCTTTATGATAAATTTTAGAGGTTATGGACTTTCGGGGCACGTTACCGAAAAGCCTTGAGATTTTAGGGAATATATCTCGGGGTCATATAATGACGTTTGGAACCATATATGATCATTATATGTTGTCATAAATGTTCGTGATATGCTTGATTTAATGAAATCGGTGCAAGTTATAAACTGGTAAATAGGTCGTTTAAATGCAAATTAGATGGTTGCACCCAAACAAATGGATTCTCGAAAGGGATTAGGGGTCATGGTAAACATTTCGACAATTATTATTTCTGGGCAAAAAAAGTCTGAAAATTCCAAAAATAAAGGCTAATATCCACGCTTTTTGAGAAATTTTGGAAGTTTTGGAGCCCGTTATCGAAAAGCTCTGAGATTCTAAGGAATACATCTCAGGGTCATATAATGTCATTTAGAACCATATATGATCAATATTTGTTGTCATAAATGTTCGTGGTAGGCTTGAGTTAATGAAATCAGTGCAAGTTGTAAACCGGTAAATTGGTTGTTTAAATGCAAATTGGATGGTTACACCCACACAATGGGACTACAGAACGGTTTTAGGGATCATGGTAAACATTTCGGCAATTTTTTTTCTGGGCAAAAAAGTCAAAAATTACAAAATTGAAGGCTAATATCCACGTTTTTTGAGAAATTTTTGAGGATTCAGGGCTCGGTTCGAAAAGTCTTGAAATTCTAGGGGATACATCTCGGGTTCATAGAATTCCGTTTAGAGCCATTTAAGATCATTATATGTTGTTATAGATTTTCGTGGTAGGGTTGAGTTAATGAAATCGGTGCAAGTTGTAAACAGGTAAATTGGTTGTTTAAAGGCAAATTGGATGGTTCCACTCACCCAATTATACTCCCGGAGGGTATTAGGGACTATGGTAAACATTTTGGAAATTTTTGTTTTCGGGCGAAAAAAGTCAAAAAAATTTCAAAATTAAAGGCTAATTAAGATCCACGTTTTTGAGAAATTTTGGAGGTTTCGGATCACGTTGTCGAAAAGCCTTGAGATTTTAGAAAAAATATCTCGGGGTCATATAATGACGTTTGGAACCATATATGATCATTATATGTTGTCATAAATGTTCGTAATAAGCTTGAGTTAATGAAATCGATGCAAGTTGTAAAGCGGTAAATTGGCCGTTTAAAGGCAAATTGGATGGTTCCACCCACTCAATTGGACTCCCGGAGAGTATTAGTGACCATGGTAAACATTTCGGTAATATTTATTTCCGGGCGAAAAAAAGTCGAAAAATTCCAAAATTGAAGGCTAATATCCACGCTTTTTGAGAAACTTTGGAGATTTCGAGACCCGGTGTTGAAAAGCCTCGAAAATTTAAGGGGTATATCTCGGGGTCATATAATACCGTTTGGAATCATACATAATCATTATATGTTGTCATAAATGTTCGTGGTAGACTTGAGTTAATGAAATCGGTGCAAGTTGTATACCCGTAAATTGGTCGTTTAAAGGCAAACTGGATGGTTCCATCCACCCAATTGGATTCCCAGAGGGTATTAGGAACCATGGTAAACAATAATTTTATTTCCGGGCGAAAAAAGTCAAAAAATTCCAAAATTAAAGGCTACTATCCACGTTTTTTGAGAAATTTTGGAGGTTTTGGGGCCCGATGACGAAAAGACTCGAGATTTTATGGGACACATCTCGGGGTCATATAATACCTTTTGGAACCTTATATAATCATTATATGTTGTCATAAATGTCCGTGGTAAGCTATAGTGAATTAAGTCGATGCAAGTTGTAAACCGGTAAATTGGCCGTTTAAAGGTAAATTGGATGATTCCACCCACCCAGTTGGACTCCCGGAGGGTATTAAGGACCATGGTAAATATTTCGACAATTTTTATTTCCGGGCGAATAAAAGTAAAAAAAAATTCCAAAATTGAAGGTTAATATCCACAATTTTTGAGAAATTTTGGAGGTTTCGGTGATATCTCGCGGCCATATAATGCTGTTTTGAACCATATATGATCATTATTTGTTGTCATAAATGTTCAAGGTAGGCTTGAGTTAATGAAATCGGTGTAATTTGTGAACCGATAAATTGGTTGTTTAAAGGCAAATTGGATGGTTCCACCCATCCAATTGGACTCCCGGAGGGTATTAGGGACCATGGTAAACATTTTGGCAAGTTTTATTTCCGGACGAAAAAAGTAAAAAAAATTCCAAAATTGAAGGCTAATATTCACGCTCTTTGAAAAATTCTGAAGGCTTCGGGGTCCGGTGTCGAAAAGCCTTTAGATTATAAAGGGTACATCTCGGGGTCATATAATGTCGTTTGGAACCATATATGATAATTATATGTTGTCATAAATGTTTGTGGTAGATTTGAGTTAATAAAATCGGCGCAAGTTGTAAACAGATAAATTGGTCGTTTTAAGGCAAACTGAATGGTTCTACCTACCCAATTGGACTCTCGAAGGGTATTAGAGATCATGATAAACATTTCGGCAATTTTTATTTTCGGGCGAAAAATAAAGTAAAAAAATTCATAGATTGAAGGCTATATCCACGCTTTTTGAGAATTTTTGGAGTCTTCGGGTCCAGGTGTCGAAAAGTCTTGAAATTCTAGGAAATACATCTTGAGGTCATATAATGTCTTTAGGAACCATATATGATCATTATTTGTTGTAATAAATGTTCGTGGTAGGCTTTTATTAATGAAATCGATGCAAGTTTTAAACCGGTAAATTGGTCGTTTAAAGGCAAATTAGATGGTTTCACCCAGCCAATTAGACTCCTGAAGGGTATTAGGGACCATGGTAAACATTTCGGCAATTTTTATTTGCGGGTGAAAAAAAATCAAAAAATTCTAAAATTGAAGACTTATATCCACGTTTTTTGAGAAATATTGGAGGTTTCGGGTAGAGCTGTCAATTCGGGTAAACGGGTCGGGTTTGGGTCGGTAAGAGTGGGTCGAGTCAACTCAAGTCGGGTCAATTTGGATTAATTCCATAACCTATGCGGGTCGGGTTTGGGTTGGGTCAAGCTTTAGTCGGGTCAAGTCGGGTCATACTTCTTATTGGGTTTTTGTCGGGTTAATAACAGGCCGGGTTGCATTTGGGTTGGGTGAACAATAGGTCAGGTTTAATACGGGTTTTCATGGGTTAAAACGGGTTAGGGTAATTTTCGGGTTTGAGTCAGAGTCGGTTCAAGTTAATAATTTGCGAGTTATAATCAGGTCGGGTCATTCTCGGTTTTGATTCGAGTTCGGTTCAAGTCAATAATTTGCGGGTTATAATCAGGTCGGCTCATTTTCAAGTCGGGTCATTCTGGGTTCAAGTCGGGTTCGGTTCAAGTCAATAATTTGTGGGTTATAATTAGGTTGGGTCATTTTCAAGTCGGGTCATTCTCGGATTCAAGTCAGGTTATGTTCAAGTTAATAATTTGCAGGTTACAATCAGGTCGGGTCATTTCCAAGTGAGGTCATATTCGGGTTCAACTAAATATAAATAGATAATTATCATCTTTATCAAGCTAATTATTTTCTTTGAATATAATATGTATGACAATATAATAGGGAGCTATAGTCTATAATTTAGGAAGATAATTATCTCCTTTAACCATACAACAAATATATACTATATTTAACTCTTAAATTTGAGCATGATGCTTCTTTTGCTGGCCTGGACCGACTTGGTCTCCCTAGACAAAAGGCTTTGATCAATAATAATAAGGTGGTCTAAATTGCATTTATGGTGATTTGAAATCGTGTCAGGAACAATTTGAGTTGAATTTAGGTCGAGTCAATGACAAGTCGTGTTGTTTTCGAGTCGAGTTAGTAACAGATCGGGTTGAATTTTTGGGTCGGGTAAGTAATAGGTCTGGTAAAATTCAGGTCGGATCAATAACAAGTCGGGTTGAATTTGGGTCAGATCAATAACAAGTCGGGTTGATTTAGGGTCGGGTTAGTAACAAGTTGGGTTAAATTCCGATTGGGTTAGGAACGGGCCGGGTTAAATTCAGGTCAGGCTAGTAAAAGTCGAGTTAAATTCGGGTTTTGACGGGCTAAAACGGGTTTGGGTCAATTTCGGTTCAAGTCAGGTTTAGTTTAGGTCAATAATTTACGGGTTACATTCGGATCGGGTCATCTCCAGGCCATTTCATGTTCAGGTTCAGATCTCACATACTCGGGTCAACTTGGGTCTAGGGTTGGTTCCAGATCGGGTCAGGTCGGGTTTGGGTCACCATTTTTCGGGTTCAGATGGGTCGGTTAATAATCGAGTTTGAGTCGATATTTCGAGTCGGGTCAACTTTTGACAGCTCTATACTACATACAACCGAGTGATCGGATACTAGTTAATTTTGCATAAATGAGATATTACAGAGTATGTTTTAAAACTAACTAATGACTTGAAGTTACTTTTATTCTTGGTTTCTAAAATCCGATATCACTGGTAGATCGTTGTGATTTTAGAAATGAGAATTAATCTTAAAACATGTGACAATATCACACATAATTTGATGTACTCTATTTTTTTACAATACAAAAGTATTATTCTTGAATTATGTATCAATGTATCAAATAATTATTCCATTTTATCGAATAAATTTGACTTGTTACTTTCAAAAAACAAAAAACTGACCTGTTAAGTTCTTTGAAAAACCAATTGTGACTCGCCATTTCATGAGAAAAGCATATAAAAACACGAGTGCACCACCAATTAGCAATAAGTCCCTCTGCCCTTCCATGCCAACACTACTCAACTCACAAGGCCACAACCAACAAGTAATATTCCCAACCCCTTCAAAATCACCACAACTCTTTCGCATTGCCATGACCTCACCAATCTGCCAGTCCGCCGCCACGACTATACAATCCTAGAGACGACAGAAAGAGCAGGGGAGAAAAAGAGGACCAAGAAAAATCCAACGAGAGAAAGATGGAAAGTTGAAAAAGAAAACCATGTAAGTATGCAACACACCAATTTTTAATGCATCATAAGTGCGTACACTACTATTGTTTTATAAGGTCTACAATTGCACTTAGTCAACAGTTTACTCAGTTAACAGCGAGCTTCTACCAAAATCCAACTCTTTCTCCCTAGACACCACCAGGCATACATGTACAAACGAACTAACATTTCAATAAAATTCAAAAGCTATCAGTGAGTAATTCTCTGATATCAATCATTTAGGCGACTGTGAAGGCTCATCACTAGATTCTGCAGCCGTGTCCTGAGAAACAATGTTATGTGATCAAATCCAGTTCAAAGGAATGATAACAACGTGAATATATGAGTATTTAGATAGAACTATAGAAGTGAGGTTTACCTTAAAAATTATTCCACATTCAACATAAGCATCATCAAAGATTGCACCGAATGTATGCAAATTTATAGCTGAAGATGAAACTGCACGCAAATACATGAAGTAAAATATGTGGGATTATCCCATATATAAAAGCAGTGATATATAATCAATGTAGAAAACACTAAACAGTAATAATATTTCCTGATTTTCTTTAACTTAGTTGGTTTACCTTAGGAATTCAAATTTTTGCGTCTCCTAATCCAACTCTGAGTACACATCAATGCCTCAACCATTGTTGGACGAAGTCTGCTACGATTTGCACCCAAAATCTTATCACCAATATCAAACGCATTCGCTACATTAACTGAGAATATTGGAATAGACAAGACATCTTTCGCAATCTTATGCAAGACAGGATATCTTGTCTTCCTGTTATTCCACCAAGACAAGATATCAAAATTTTTTGTTTCCGGATCGAAATATTCTTTCAAGTACAAGTCAACCTCATATAGTTCAGGTTCTTTCTTCTTCATTTCTCTGAGATACCTCTCAAACGTGAATTCAGCAGGATTTTGTCGCAACTCTAGCAAGCTTAAGCCCTCATTACTGGATTTTTCCACAGGATGGGAGTTCTTGTACTGATTAAATAAATCATAGAACATTCTGCGAATCCTTTCAACCACACCTTCAGCTTCATTTCTATAAATAACGGAAAAAAAGTGCTCCACTGAGAAAAAACGATATTTAGGGTGAAACACAGACACAACCCCTAGTATATCATGTGTGGCAAAGAAGTACTGATCGAGCTTCTTTACCATCATTGAGGCCATGTTTTTAATCCCTGGAGCCTCACAATCGAGCCACTCGGTTAAAGTCTCTTTAATGTAACACAAGTGCATAATATAGAAGCAAGCAGCAGGACAGTTTGCCAAATACTTCGTCTCATTATACAGAAATTGCAGCCTATTGCACACTTCCATAACTAAATCCCATTCTTCCTCAGTAGGCAAAGAGTCGTAATGAGATTCCTGCTGTCTTAAAAGAGAAAATACATCCCTGACAACAAATGAGTCTTGCAACATAAAGTATGTTGAACTCCAATTCAACCCATCATCAAGCACCAACTTTGATGTAGTGCTTACACCCAACTCACAAGCGGCTTTCTCAAATGTCATTTCTCTTTCTGGTGATGATGTCCAAAACACAATACTATCACGTATTTTCTCAATTACACGCCTAACCAAATCAAGTCCATCTTGAACCATCAGGCTCATAGTATGAGAAAAACATGGTAGCCGGAATAGTTTTTCTTTAAAGAGTAGTTTATTACCCGGAAGCTTTTCCATTAGAATATCAACAAGCTTGTCATCACAAGTGTAACTGTCGACTGTTATAGTTGACAGTTTTTTTATCACATCAAAGTATGAGAAACAATCTAGAATGACCTTGCTAATTGACTCATTTGTACAAGGTAATGGAACATTTGCAAACCTGCAGCAAGCAGAGAAATATAAGGCTGCAACTGAGATAAGCATACAGCTCACACCTTTGATAAAAAACAGTTTTTTGCAATAGCAAAGTGAAAACTGAAATTACCTCAAGATATATGATTGTCTTTTCCACTCATCATCAATGAAGTGTCCCGTGATGGCCAAAAATCTTCGATTTCCATCATTAGAAGTCCACATTTTTGTTGTAATAGCAACTCCACAGCCTGAAGAATTGTCGCCTAAATCGGTGTATGTCATGCACCTCTCAAATTTGAAGATATTCATTATATCATTCTCAATAGTGTTTTGAGAGAGCATCCCAAATGAAGGATTAACTTTACACAAAAAGTCTCTAAACCCTATTTGCTCAACCATAGAAAGAGGATGTTCATGTAATATAATCATTTTGGCCAATTCTTTCCTCAATAGGACAGGATCGAAGGTGAACTTTTGAATAGTTACCAACCGTTCTGCATCTACATCATGAATACTCATTTCTGAATCGTAATAATCTATTGACTGAAGGGACTCCACAGAGCATTCTAAATTATGAGATTCCATTCGAGACTGAATCTCATCTTCTGGTGTGGTTGGTTGACACGGCTGTTTAGAGATTGAATGTCCCTGAATAATCATGGTATCAGTAAGATCCTTTTATGTCTACTTAACCATGCAAGGAAAATAAAAACACAGATAGAACTCTTCTTTATAACAAAAATCACAACTTCCAGATTGAAAAACTTCAGATATTGAGAGTAAATTAAGTGTTACAACAAATAGTTAGATATTAAGTACCTCATCCAGTACAGCATTAAACTTAGGTTCGTCATCCACTGCCCTTTGTTTCTTCACACTCTCCGAAGAAGCTTCATCAGCTGGCCTCTTCAGTGTCTTGGACGGTAACATATGAACCATCTTGTACAGCCTAAATATCAGATTCTCATAAACTTCAGAAACCTATTACAGAACAAAACTAATCAGTACATCCCTACAAATCAACTGACATATCATCTTCATTTGAGCAGCATTTTGATTGTCATATCGTAACCTTTGTTCAAACTACACTAACTAATATCTGTAAAATGGAACTCAATTTTCTTTTAATATTATGTGACAGGAAACAGGTAAAAGATGCAGAAAACCGCTGTTCGTTCTTAGAAAAAACGAGCAAATGACCGATGTGGTACAGTCTCAGGGGTGATACCTATGATTTGAGACTGAATTTCATCTACATTATTAGCATTATATGCCTCTTTATGTTATACACCAAAAACAAAAACAAATTCCTAACAAAAATAAACCTTGTAAGAAAATGGTGGTTTTTTCAGACATCTTAAATTGCAGAAATGAATATGGGTAATTGGGTATTGCTCAACACAAAGAAAAGTTTATAATTTTATTTTATGTTTTATACAATTCTTTGCAAAAGTCATCCACTACCAAAAAAAAAAAAGGCAGAATAAATTGAGAAATACAATTTTATTCAAGGTTAAGAATAATATCATAATTGGGCTTTAAAATCATTTTAATCAAAGTAAACATTCATAACAAAGTGAAAAATAGAAAATTGGAATAAAATTGCAAAACCCTAGAACAAGATAACCTCCAAAATTTCAGAAATTTAGCAAATACAAATTGCGTAATTCTACAAAATTATAACGACAAAGTAGACGATCAAGGAGAAACACAAAGTAAACAAGATTGTAATTAGAGCATATAAGCTATAGTTTTGAGAAGAAAAAAATTGTACCTTTTTTCTAAAGTGACACTAGAAAGCTGAAGAGGGCGATTGGAGAGAGCAGTGACTCAGTGAGTCAAGTAACCAAGTTGGAGAACAGAACATAAGTCAGAGACTAAGAGGCGCGAAAACTAAAGACTACTCCCTCCGTCCTTAATGACTTTTTGCGATTTTAAACCAGCGTTTTAAAACGGTTATAAAAACTAAGGGCTTGTTTAGTTGCCTTTAATTTCCATGGGCACTCAAAATTCCCATGAATTTCTTTTTGGATATATTGTTTGATTGACATTAAAAAGTAAAAATGGGGAAAGTCATAATTCATGGAAATTTTCACTTCCCACAAAACATGGGAAGTTACTTACCCACCCCTCCCTTAGTCATTCCCACATGACAACCAAACATATTTATGTAATTCTTAGGAATTATAATAAAGGAAGTAATTTCCCATGAATTAGAATTTCCCATGGAAATTTACTTCCTACATCAACCAAACAAGCCATAAATACCAATAAAATGTACAATGAGGCGTATTAAACAAGATTTTATAGGACTATATTATCACTTATAAATTAAGAGTATTTTATGGTCAAAGTTTATAAAAGTTAACCTAAAATTTTGCAATTTTTGCAATGGAACAAAAATTTAGGGACAGAAGGAGTAGTACTTTTAAAATAGTTACACCTTACACACATTGGTCAAATAATATCGTAGTTAAACTAAATGCCTTAAGCTAATATACTCTAGTGGGAACTATTTTATGACCTCGAGGTTATAAGTTAGAACCTTATTACCTATATTTGTTTGTGAGTAGAGGATTCCCTTAATATTTCCTTATACTCAGATGTTGATTATGAGTTCGAATCCTATCACCTATTTCTTAGTTTATTGATTTAGGTGAACCAAACACTTGTAGAGTTGTAGGTGTATTTTAAGATGTCACCAAGAAAATACAGAAGTTGTTAACGTGTACTTCAAAACTGAGGAAACTCACTAAAGTATGACGTCAAAGCTTTTTACTTGTTATTGATGGGAAACTTACCTTGTAACTTTGACGTTATAAATCCGAGCCACATCAACTATATTTACTTGGTAATAGGGGATTTACTTACCCCTAATGATACACAAAAATTGCTATGATGCTCAGTTGCTCATAGACCTAATATAATACTACGTATGTACCCAAGATCTCTCCACAACGAGTGTAAAAAAAATATGGAATTAGCAAAAAAATAATGTGATGTGGCCAAGCGGCCATATAACATGACCAGACGCACATAAGACGCACCGTAAAAAATACTTTAAAAAATTATAAGTAAAATAAATAAATAAATGCCCTGGTTCCTGATGTTGTACGAAAATGAGAAAGCATTATTTGTTTGTGTATCAGTGATAATCCAGAAGAAGAGAAGAAGCAAGAAACCCTTGCTCATATTTGACTCCTCCCCACCAAATCCAATCTCAGACATCATTTACCCACCATACCCCCTTTCTCCCCATTATCAAGGTCAGTTCTTTTTCTCTATTCTCATTCCAATTCTCTCTTTCTCTTGTTTTTTCTTGTTCTTGGATCTGCTCTAATTTCATGATGATTCTTTTTATCTGGGTATTTATGGGTTCTGAATTGTCAGGAAATGGGTATTTTTGGTTTAATTTTCTTGGGGCTTTGTTAGGATTTCTTCCATGTTTCAATTTCAATTCATTATTTGATTCTTTTTACTTCAATTTTAATGAATTATGTAGCTTTTATGAGCTGTTTAATAATCAATTCTTGTTTGGGTAATTGAGTATTGTAAATTATTCATTTGGTTATTAATCTTATTATGCCTAGCTTGTTACTCCACTTGTTGATTGATTTTGAGTTGCGGATTAAATATGAGGTGGATTAGGTGAATTGACCTTTTGTCTGATTAGTAGCTTAATCACATAGAGGAATTCAAGTTTGCAGCTTTTGAAGATTTCTAAGGGGGAGACGTAGTGATTGTCGGTATTTTCGTACCTTTTCGATAGTTTTCTTGGTTGGATGGCTGTAGATTTTAGCAACTAATCGTTGGTTGTGTCACTGTGTGTGAATATTAGACATATGGAATGTGTATTGGCTCACTGATTGCATTTGTGGGGGGGGGGGGGGTGGAATTTGTGGCTTAACTTTCTGGTATTTGATAAAGATTCTGATTTGGCAGTATTTGGAGTTTCGGCGATACTCCTTTTGGTCTGCTTGTATTTAAACTTACTATTTAGGGTTGTTTGACTATCCGAGAATAGTAATGATCTGCAATCGGATTTTTCAAAACACCCCTACTTTAATTGAATGGCAGGGAGAACTTGGGAATTAATTAATTATTATGAAGAGTGATTTCGTGGTAGGGGTGGTGGAAATCATCTTTGAAGGAGTAGAACAATAGCATTGATGATGATATTGTTGTATTTTACTTTGCACAAGAATATTCTTTGATGTACCAATTAAGTTAATAACATTTTCTGTTTTATAAATAGCTAAGAAGTTGCATGCTTTGTTTTGGCATTTTTTTTTTCTCTCTCTCTATTCTTTGTATCAATTTACTTGTTGCAACTGAAAACGCAAAAATATATGCATGATCATGCATTCATGTGTATACTGGATGATGATGATGATGATTTTATTACCTCCCCACACCATTCTTCAACATGTCTCATGACGCTCTCTTTTTCATAGTTTTGTGTGGATGCATGATGGATGTGGGATTGTGTAAAATTAATGTGTTCTTAATGGTTGAATTTTAGAGTTTGTTCTTTGAAATACTTGATTCATAAACCATCTATTGATTGAATACTTTGACGCGTTTTATGTCACTTATTGGTCTATTTTAAACAGAAGTAAAATATTTTGGCAAATAACTTTCAGCAACTTTGGAAATAGACAGATGTGAACAATTTGATTTCATATATGTGGTGTTTCTATATAAATGTCATCAGTCTATTGAGATTCAAGGAGAAGAGATTAACAATTTTCTTTTTCAGAAAATATGTAGTGCCTATGAAGTTACCTCATGGCTTTTTATTTATCTGGTTTTTTAATTGCATTTTTTTTTATTGACTTCGCTTGTATGTGGTTAAGATTCTATTCATGTTACTCATTCTTGTGTATGACAATCAGCTATATGAGACTCTCTTCTTTCCTAGGTTTGGAAAATTGTGTTTCAGGTATCATTTACACATACCCTCTATTGAGTTGGTTCATCTTCTCTCTCACAGTATCTTTTGTTTAGTTAGGTGACTTTTTTATGTCATAGTTGGCTTCATTAAAAGCTGAGAGTTGCAGTGGTATAATTTTACGATATTCTAAATATTCAAAGCGTTCTCTTCGGACCTAGGATTATAAGTGTGCTTCTTGGGCATGGTGTTGCTTACCTCACTTTTTTTTCACCACACTTATTCTTCTTGTCTAAGGTTTCTTCTTTCTCTTTAACTTGATTAGAAGTCTAGAGCTGGAATTTGTGGAGCTTTTGAGAAAGAAATAATACTCCAACTTTGCAGGATGTTACAACAGTGTTTACTGTCTAGTTTTAGTTTCTATTTTTTCCGTAAGTCCCATAGGATTGTATATAAACATTAGTTCTCCTCATCGTGGATAGTTATGTTTCTTATGTAAGTCCAAGGTTTTTTGGATACCTAAAGTTTTTTAATTGAAAGACCCCATCGGGGACTTATTATATTTTTTTATTTTCTTGATCATCTGTAACACAGTATCATAAATCTTTCTCCACTGCTATTTCCACTTTTTGCATTGTCCAAACCATGTCAACCTCTTTCCTCGAGCTCACAATTGATTTTGTTTCTCTAATATACTTATTTGTAGGCTTTTATCTGAAGCCCCCTACCCCAACTTGCAGTAGTGATACATCCTCTATGGATTAATACCAGCCAATATGATGTATCTTGCACTGGCCTGTGGGGTAATTTTGATGAATATCTCGCCTTTCTCGGTCATAATTCTATATTTCTATATTTCTCTTTAATTTCTGAATTTAGATAATTTGTGAATTATATCCTTGGTATATGAATGGAGGTTGGGACTTGGGGTTTTTAGAGATTAACACCATATATACCAATTTGATTTATATTTAAGAGGTTTGTAGTTTCATGCAAACAATAGTTATTGTGTAACACATTGGATAGTTTTAGAGGCGCAAGATCAATTTTAGTGTCATTTATGCATCTGATATAGAGAGCTTATTTAGAGTGTTGTATCATACTTCTATGCTAGGGTTAAAAATAGTTACTGATAACCAGAAGGTCCTTCACTAGTAAACACCCTTCTCTAGCTTCATACAATTCTCAGTTTACCAATTTACTATCTGCTTGATGGTTTTCCATTAACAGTTGGCCATTTGTTAGCTTGGGAAACCACAGTAATAATTAGAAAATCTAGGATGTGGCGAATTTATGGTGCTCTGAGCCTCTGATTGTGTGACCTATGATTGATTAGTCAAAAGAAATTCCAACTATATATCAACTTCAAGGTTCTTAATCCCCATAGTAGCCTCTGAGGTAACCTAAGTTTGTGATAAATGGTGGATCATACATGACTCTAGACCATTTTGGATACCAAAGGCTCAAGGCGTACCTAGGCGATAGGGATTCACTAGTTGAGAATATAGGTAGCTGAAAGTTTCATAAATGCTACAAGAGGCCATTGACAACAATTTAAAGACAAGTACAAGATGCACATCCCTTGTTCTTTTCAATGCTTCAGTTGATTGTTATGGCCATGAATCAACGGCGATTTACATTCCTAACTCTTCCCACACACATGGAGACTTTTAGCCCAAATTGCTTGGGACAACCCATCATGCATAAGCTTTTAGATTTTTGGATTGCAATGTGACATTCATGGTTACACTACTATTTTGCATGGGGAAGAAGTTAATTTTAGTCTGATAGTTGGTTCAGACTCCAAAACAGATTGGATCAATAATTCCAGAGTATTTCTTGACCAAATATTTTGCTACACTAGCTCGATCGAGACATAGGGAGGATTCGGTAGATCAGTTGATGTATGAGCTTCCTATTTTTCAGATGATAATCAATTAAAGAGAAGTCATTGATTACCAAGAAACACTGGATGAGGGGATATGACATTTGAAGACTGAACTATATGGGAACTGTT